GGCTCTACTGGGACCGGACCATCATAACAGACAGGACTATTCTAGCGAATAAGCCTGATATTGTGCTGATGGACCGGGCACAGTCAAGGATATTTTTTGGTCGACATTACCATTCCGTATGACGAGAACCTCGTGAAAGCCGAAACAGACAAGCAAACAAAATATCTGGACCTGGCTCACGAGGTGACCGACATGTGGGGTGGTCTGCCGACCGAAATTATTCCTGTAGTCGTCTCTGCAAACGGGCTAATCCCAGTCAGCCTCTCGGGTCATCTGAGGCGGCTGGGACTACGTGGCGGACCGCTCCAGGTTCAAATGCAGAAGGCGGTGCTCCTCGATACCGCCCGCATCGTCCGCCGGTTTCTTTCCCTTTCCCCCCTAACCCTCGGCCGTTTGGTCTCCCCTGCCGAGGGCCTCCATCTGGTTGGGCTTTTACTTATTTATGTACTTTTATATTTATTTTATGTTATTGATATTTATGTATATTTATCTTTTCATTTTCATTTATAATTATATATTTATAGAACCCAACCAGATGAGAAAACTATATAGATACCCCACAATAATAATAATAATACGTGGCGGACCGCTCCGGGCTCAAATGCAGAAGGCGGTGCTCCTCGATACCGCCCGCATCGTCCGCCGGTTTCTTTCCCTTTTCCCCCTAACCCTCGGCCGTTTGGTCTCCCCTGCCGAGGGCCTCCATCTGGTTGGGCTTTTATTTATTTATGTATTTTTATATTTATTTTATGTTATTGATATATATGTATATTTACCTTTTCATTTTCATTTATAATTATATATTTATAGAACCCAACCAGATGAGAAAACTATATAGATACCCCACAATAATAATAATAAAATAATAATAATAATAAATAAATAAAAGTAATAAAAAAAAAGTAAATGATGCAGTCAGTATAAAATCTTAAAAATGAATTTTTGTAGCATATGTTTCAAGTTCCCAAATAACAAATTCTCAACGCAAATAGATTTTACAATATCAATATAAATAAAACTTTAAAAAATCTGTGGAAAAGAAACTAATTTCAAGAAAAATGTATTTCTTTCAAATTGACAACTGTCATCTAAGAAATTTTACAAACAGATTTATATAATATTTTATATTATAATTTCACGTTACATTATGCATCGAACGAGACGACAAATACGAATAAATACCGCCAACACCACAATCGCACACGTAACATCGCCTACGGAGGACTACACATCCATGGAATGTAATCCAAGAGGCACAAGAAGAACCCCCGTACCATCTTTGAGGGGACGAAGAGCGCCAGCGGCTGGCTTGGGACCTGCAGGAATTACCATCCTACATGAGGACCCCGCTACTGATGGTGTAGTGCGACGACGCATGCGCTGGACTAAAGAATTAAATATAAGTGTTATGCGCGCGTACTATAAGGCTACCAAAGGAGGAACCAATCTTACATCTTATCGCCCTAAAATGCTGTTTGAATTCCAACAGCTACAACCCAACCTAACAAACTTAACTGCCCAAAGACTTTCAGATCAAGTACGTGTAATTCTAAGTCGTAAGATTTTGGACGACAGATTAATTGAACAACTTTGCAGTGAGTACTCAACATCTACTATCAATTCAATTCCTGATTCCCAACGAACACTTCCAGGTGAGACTGATGACTTAAATGAAAATAACAGTAACCATAATATAAATATTACTAACTTAAATAACGAAAAAGTAGAGCAAAATTGTTTTGATATAGATGTGAGTTCCCAAGACAGCGAATATATGAAAAGGACTTTCGAATGTTCCCTTCTGGAATATAAAAATACACCAATAGAAAATAGACCGAAACTACCTAAACTTCCTAACAACAAAAAAACTTTTCTAACAGTAGCATCAATGAATATTCTTTGTAAAGATTATTTTGAAAAAAGTAACTCTATTTTGGAAACTATGTCTCTTCTATACTGTTGTGCCCATGCTATATGTATGATAATGAAAATTCCTGTCATTGCAGTACAAAATTTTAAGAAAAATAATACAGAACCTAAATGGAAACAAAGAATTCAAAAACGAATTGACAATACTCGCAAAATTATAGGAAAATTAATAAGCTACCAAACAGGTAACAGGCGTAAAAAAATAATTACTTTAGTAAATCAAATCGCTAATGAAAATGATATTAGCCAATCAGATCCCCATTTTCCGGATAAAATTACTGAATTCATTGATACACAAAAACAAAAGTTAAAAGCATGGGCCAACCGTATTAGACGATATTCAGAAAGATCTAAACGGTACTTCCAGAATCGCACATTCGAAAGTAACCAAAAGTGGGTGTATCGGTCTTGGGAGAACACTACAACTAATAGTTGTACTCATGGCAGCCCAAGCTTAAATGAATGTCTAAATTTTTGGAAAAGTATGTGGTCTAACGAAGTTTCTCATAATGAAGGCGAATGGATTCGTGCAACCGAACGTAAGTTTTCTAAATTGGCTAACATGGGTTCTATTTCAATTACTGCTGAAGATGTACACTCAATTACTCGTAGATTACTCAACTGGAAATCACCTGGACCAGATGGTATACACAACTTTTGGCTGAAATGGATAACAAGTAGCCACGTGCGTTTGGCTGCACAGATTCAAGAAGCCATTGAGTGCTGTGAGCTCCCGAGACTTCTTACAACTGGTATTACCCACTTACTATATAAAAATGGAAACACCACGGAACCTAAAAATTACCGACCTATAACATGCCTTTCAACTGTATACAAATTAATAACTGCAATTTTGAATAACAAGATCTATAAACATTTGGAAAATAATAACATTCTTTCAACTGCACAGAACTGATGTCGGAAAGGGTCACGTGGTTGTAAAGAACTTCTTCTCATTGACACAGCTATTTGCCGACAAGTCTTTCGTAATCGCAAAAATATGTCCGCTGCTTGGGTGGATTACAAAAAGGCATATGACTCTGTTCCACATTCATGGCTAAAGAGAGTTTTAGAAATATATAAAATAGATGACAAAATTTGTAAGTTTTTAAGTAAATAATGGGTCAGTGGAACACTGTTCTAAATCTACCAGGTGAGTGGCAAAGTAGTTCGATAGACTCTATAAATATTAAACGGGGTATATTCCAGGGCGATAGTTTGAGCCCAACTTTGTTTTGTTTAGCCCTGAATCCTTTAAGCACTGCTATTGAGGAATCCGGATTAGGGTTTCGGTTTCGAAAAGAAAACTCACCGATCTCACATCTACTTTATATGGATGATCTCAAACTATTCACATCAAAAGAGAGTAATCTACTATTATTGTCGAAATTAACACATAGTTTCAACAATGATATTAGAATGGAATTTGGAATAGATAAATGTGCTGTCATTAACGTAAATAGAGGCAAAATTAAAGATTGTAATAATTTAGCAATTACAAATGACTTACATTTCAGTTCTCTTTCTGAAACAGAAACCTATAAATACTTGGGCATGGCAGAAGCGCTAGGAATTAATGACAAAAATATTAAAGAAAATTCAAAAGTAAAATTTATGTCAAGGTTAAAAAAAGTTATCAAAAGTCATTTATCCGGCGGAAACAAAATTAGAGCATATAACTCCTGGGTAATACCTAGCCTTCTATATACTTTTGGTGTTACAAGATGGTCTCAAACGGAATTGGATGACTTAGATAGACGAGTCCGTACATTAATGACTACGCACAGAATGCACCACCCACGATCATCTGTCATGAGGTTGTATCTTCCAAGAAAAGATGGTGGACGGGGCTTATTAAACATTAAAAACCTACACAACCGTGAAGTATACAACCTCAGAGACTATTTTATTAAAAAAAAGACACATCACACATTCATAATGACGTAGTGATTAATGACAAATCATTAACCCCGCTTAATATGTCGGCAAAGGACTGGCAGAGGCCTCATACTATATCTATAGATGAACGCAAAAAAGGTTTGGAATGACAAACAACTGCATGGTCGATTTTTTAAAGCATTGACTAATCCTTATGTAGACATGGTTGCATCAGTACATTGGTTACAATTTGGTGACCTTTTTGCAGAAACTGAAGGTTTTATCTGTGCAATACAAGATGAAGTAATTAAAACGAACAACTACCGGAAATACATTTTGAGGGACGGCACAGTTGACGTATGTCGAGCATGTCACCACCCTGGAGAGTCCCTCAGACATGTTATTTCCGGTTGTTCACAACTATCAAATGGTGAGTATTTGCACAGACATAACCAAGTAGCTAGAATAATACACCAACAGCTTGCCATTAAATTTGGCTTTACTCAACAGGATGTTCCTTATTATAAGTATGAACCAAAGCCAGTCCTTGAAAATAGAAGTGTCACGCTGTACTGGGATCGGTCAATTATCACAGACAGATTTATAGTGGCAAATAAACCTGACATTGTGGTGTTAGACCGAACTACACGCAAGGCAATAATAGTGGATATCAGTGTTCCTCATGACGAGAATCTCGTAAAAGCAGAGAATGGTAAAAAAAATAAAATATATCGACTTGGCCCATGAGATTGTCGCTATGTGGGACGTTGATTCTACTATTATTGTACCAGTAGTTGTATCAGTCAATGGACTTATTGGTAAAAATATGGACGATTATCTGTCCAAGTTAGGTTTGGGCAAATGGCTGAAAGCATTAATTCAAAAATCGGCCTTATTAAATACGGCTCGAATAGTAAGAAGGTTCCTATCTTTGGATGCCTAAATTCACCGATGGCTTAGAATTCCTCGCCGCGGTGGATAAAAGCCGAAATAATAATATTATTTATATAGACTGTATTTATATTTGTAATATTATAGTTTTGTGATAATATATGTGATCATATAATAATAATGTAGTAATAATGTAGACGTCACTAGATGCGCAACCAACTGCATATGTGGATGCTGCCGTCAACATTCCATTTGTGGCTAATTCAGACGATGACGGAATAGTCTTCCACGAACTAGAGAAAATGAGGAGCATATTGGAAGAGTCGATGCTGGAAACGCGCAGCATGCCTCTCGAAAATCGACCGCGACTTCCCCGCATACCCCTTAGCAAGCGAAATCGGGCTATCGTGCGGGCTCTTAACCCAATGCTGGTGACCTATTTGGAAGCCAGCCGGGACCTTTGCGAGACGGATTCAATTCTTTTTAGCGCCGCACTGGCAGTATGCCGTATTATTGGCGCCAAACTTCCCGTGGCTGGACGTGCTACTCAAAAAATTAGCGCCATCCCAGCCTGGAGAAAAAGAATTGAGGACCGTATCGCAAAGGCAAGAGCCCTTATCGGCAGACTAACAAGCTTCAGGTCGGGTAATAATAGACCGAGGATTATGCGCACCGTTAGGATGGCGTTTGCTGGGACAAATATCAGTTTGTTCCAACCGGATATCACGCAAAAACTAACGGAGCGCATAGATGACCTGAAGCAAAAAATCGCTGCTTGGGGGAAGCGGATTCGACGATTTAGCGAGAGGTCAAGGCGGTTCAACCAGAATCGTCTCTTCCAAAGTGATCAGAAGAGGCTCTATAAATCATTGGAGCGACCAGAGGTATGTGGAGCGGGCCCAGGACCGGATCAGGCCGATACTGTCGCATTTTGGCGTGGCCTGTGGTCAGAGCCCGTAAACCACAGCGAGGGCCCTTGGATGGAAGTTGTGGCGAGCCAGAGTGCAAGTGTTACGCCTATGGACCTCGTCACCATAACGCCTGAAGACGTGGCTGAGGCGGTCCGTAGGGCCCCGAACTAGAAAAGTCCGGGGCTCGACGGGCTGCATCATTACTGGCTGAAGGGGTTCGTAGTGTGTCACGCTGTGCTCGCCCGACAGTTTCAAGAGGCTCTCGATCAGAAGTCGCTCCCGAGCCTCTTCACTACTGGGATCACTCATTTGATTCCTAAAGATCAAGATACCACAGACCCGAGCAAATACCGCCCCATCACGTGTCTACCCACCATATATAAGACACTGACATCCATTTTGAGCGCGAGAATCACTCGTCACCTGGAGCTAAATCAGGTTATGTCACGCGCTCAAAATGGATGCCGGGGCGGTGGTCGTGGAACCAAGGAACCACTCCTCATTGACGCGGTCATTGGCAAAGTGGTGAAACGCAACCGTCGGAATTTCTCCGCCGCCTGGATAGACTACAGAAAGGCATTCGACTCGGTGCCCCATACGTGGCTAAAGAGAGTCCTCCAGCTGTACAAAATTGACTGTACAGTTGGAGACTTCCTCGAGCAGTGTATGGGGCAATGGAGTACGATCCTTTGCTATCTGGGCGAGCGGATGATGGCTGCAGAGAACCACATAAGGATAAGAAGGGGTATCTTCCAGGGCGATTGTCTCAGTCCAATCTGGTTTTGCCTCTCCCTGAACCCTCTCAGTACTTTACTGGAGGGCTCCGGGAGGGAATTTCAGCTTCGGAAAGGAGGTACAAAAGTGACCCACCTTTTCTATATGGATGACCTCAAGTTATTCGCATCCAGTCGTTCCCATCTTATGGAATTGCTAAACATCACTTGTGAATTTAGCAGTTCTATTGGAATGGAGCTGGAAACGGATAAGTGTGCGGTCCTCCATGTTGAAAGGGGAAGGGTTGCTAACTCTAAGGGCATAGACCTATCTATGCCCGTCAACTTAAGAACCCTTTCCGAGACTGAAATGTCTTCTGGTTATGTCACAGAACATCGGTATCGATGAGGCTGGTATGAAACAGTCAGTTTGCGACGTGTTTTATGCACGCTTGACCAAAGTGCTTTACAGCCTTTTGTCTGGTGTGAATAAGACACACGCATATAACGGTTGGGTCATGCCTGTCCTCATGTATACCTTTGGCATACTCAGGTGGACCCAGACTGAACTTAACGCCCTGGATAGAAAAGTCCGCACTACCATGACGTCCCATAGGATGCATCATCCGAGATCGTCGGTAATGAGGCTGTACTTGCCGCGAAAGCATGGTGGACGTGGTTTTCTGAGCGCGCTCACCATGCATAATCGCGAAGTGTGCAGCCTCCGTGATTACTTCCTGGCGAGATCGCATGATCCTTTCTATTATGACGTCATTTCTAGTGATAAAGGGCTTACCCCTCTATCCTTAGCCAATGAGCAATGGCAGAACCCAGCAGTGCTTAGCATTTCTGACCGGGAGACCGTATGGAAGGAGAAGGAGCTCCACGGGAGGTTCTACAGGGCTCTACATGAGCCTTTCGTAGACACAGTAGCCTCCCTCCACTGGCTATGCTTTGGTGATCTCTTCGGGGAAACCGAGGGTTTTGTCTGTGCAATACAGGATCAGGTTATTAAGACCAACAACTATCGGAGATACATCCTAAAGGATGGCACCGTGGACATCTGTCGAGCTTGTCGCCATCCCGGTGAGTCAATTAGGCATGTCATCTCCGGTTGTTCGGCGCTTTCTAACTCTGAGTACTTGCACAGGCACAACCTAGTAGCCAGAATTCTTCACCAGGAGCTCGCTCTGAAATACGGTCTCGTGGATCGGAAATTGCCGTATTACAAGTACTTGCCGGAAGCCGTGCTCGAAAATGATTGCGCCAGGCTCTATTGGGACCGGGCCATCATCACAGACAGGACTATTCTTGCGAATAAGCCTGATATTGTGCTCATGGACCGGGCACATTCAAGAATATTTTTGGTCGACATTACCATTCCGTATGACGAGAACCTCGTGAAAGCCGAAACAGACAAGCAAACAAAATATCTGGACCTGGCTCACGAGGTGACCGACATGTGGGGTGGTCTGCCGATCGAAATTTTTCCTGTAGTCGTCTCTGCAAACGGGCTAATCCCAGTCAGCCTCTCGGGTCATCTGAGGCGACTGGGACTACGTGGCGGACCGCTCCGGGCTCAAATGCAGAAGGCGGTGCTCCTCGATACCGCCCGCATCGTCCGCCGGTTTTTTTCCCTTTCCCCCTAACCCTCGGCCTTTTTGTATCCCCTGCCGAGGGCCTCCATCTGGTTGGGCTTTTATTTATTTATGTATTTTTATATTTATTTTATGTTATTGATATTTATGTATATTTACCTTTTCATTTTCATTTATAATTATATATTTATAGAACCCAACCAGATGAGAAAACTATATAGATACCCCACAATAATAATAATAATGTCCTCCCGACCGAATTTCGGTCACAGCGGTGAGTCTCAACGGAGTCTAGTCATCTAAGCAGTTCAGGATTATAGTGTCATGCACAAGCACAAGTACATTCTCTACTCCCTGACTCTCATAATTCGATGATATGGTATTCCAAGACGACCGGAGAGATCAGGTGCAAGATCTACGGCTTTACCAGCTTTTCGGGGAACGCTGGTGTAATACCGTCAACTTCCTGACACCAGGCTACTACCGAGAAAATTTATGAAACAGAACCCTTTGAAAGTGGCTCCACCCGAGATTAGAACCTAGGACCTCTAGCTTACTTCTATAGCTAGCAACCGCGTTTACGACTACTGAACCAACGAGGCAGTAAGCAGTGATAATAGAAGGAAACTATCAAACGTGTTATTGTATAGTGATCGAAGTGCATTAGGGGTTGGCAGGCACCTGAAGCCGTCTCCAACGGGGCTCATGCAGATGGCGAGATGCAGGCGGGCGCGCGCGCGCGTGATGAAAAAGCGGTAAACCGCGTCGCGGTCGGAGGAGTTCACGCCGGCACGTACAGCCTCTGCGCTGCACGCGGCTACCACTTGCTCCAGCGGCTCCCCCCTCGAACAGGTTGTTCACCTCGCCTGCCATATACAAAAGCCCCCTCAACTTCGCTACGTACGTTTTATATTTTTTTAAGAATGTTACTCTCATACTTTATGACGACACATCGAAAAAGTGACTACAGGCTGTCGCCGTACTGGTTCGAGTGAATACAAAATTTCTATAAAAACTTGAAAAAACGTCGTCATAAGGTCTAAAATTGCGTAGCGCCCGCGACGAATAAAATCGCTTAGAAATTGTCAGAATCTTAAAATATTTTTTATAAAATTATCGATTTTAGTAATCAAAATAATGAGCAAGTAAATTATGAATATTGATGTTATGAATATATTTGAGTGATTCCCAAGGTATATCTTTGGGAATCACTCAAATATATTAATACCTATTAAGTCATTTCGTTGTAATTTCAACTATAGTGGTTTTTAGAGGTGTTTTCGCAAATAATTATGATCGAGCCAAAATTATACAATCGTGTTTTTGAACAATCAAATTCAAGATAAAGACATGAATTTCCCTATATCAAAATTCCACTTTCGTTAGTGGTGTCATAGTCCTATACTATTCGATGAAAGGAGGTGCATTTTTTCGCGGTGTCGCCTTAATTTTCTGCTGTAATCATGGCCTCCGTGACATTTCACTTACACAAATTTCATAAGTATTAACGTCCAGACCCGGAGTGACTATTTGTAAAACATAGAATTACTTGTTCCGTGCGGGATTCAAACCCGCTGGTCTTAGCGTTGCAACTCATTAGAGGTGTAGCGGCGCTGTCGTCTCGCCACAAGCGAAACACATTGAAGCCTAAATCGCGCTATCAAAGTTCCGAAGTAAAGCAGTATGTATAGAATAGCTCCAAACTACCGCTCGGAGCGTTGGCCGCTCCCCGGGAACACCTTGCCCGGGGGAGGATCTCCTCTTTCCTTCCACTGCTATAGAGGAAATTGAAACAGGAGGTAGGCAGCAATATGTTTCCTGATCCGAAATCCTGATAACACTATTGGTCACACTGTGTATAGGAAAAAGACCCATACCAACCGATATTTATATGGTGAATCTCTCCATCATCCTTCACAGTTAGCTACCGTGGGTAAATCTTTGTTTCAGAGAGCACGAGGGATCTGTGACAGAAAACATCTGGCCGCGGAGCTTCAGCACGTCAAGCAAGTATTGCAAGACAACAAGCTTCGGGTCCCGCGCCTACGTCACAGTGAACGAGTGAAGCCGGCCACAGTCGAGCGCGCGCCTGCTCTACTACCATATGTTAGAGGAGTCACGGACAAGATTGGCTACATCTTGAAGCAAGCGTCCATTAAGACATACTACAAGCCGCTGAAGAAGATTAGTCAATTTTTACCATCCATCAAATGTAATATTCCTCTACAAGATGCAGGTGTGTACAAGCTAGATTGTGAATGTGGTCTCTCTTACATAGGTCAAACAAAGAGATCTATAAAAACCCGCGTGAAGGAACATATAGCTGATGTGAAGCACCGACGCTCCGGGAAGTCTGCAGTCTGCGAACATGTTCAAGATCGTCCCCACCATTACATTAGATTTGATAAACCACAAATTCTCGCAAAAGAACACCGATTCCTACCAAGGATGATACGCGAGGCTATTGAAATTAAAAAACATCCAAATTTCAATAGAGAAGATGGTTGGGTGCTACCATCTGCTTGGGATCCTATAATTAACAAAATTAAACCCAAACCCAAGCATACCACTGCAAGACTTCATGATACTATAAGCTCGTTCTGCGTAAATCGGACCAAAAATTAATATTAAAAAACTGAAGGTAGCCGGACTAACTATGACATTGGGACGTCAAACATCTCAGTCCGTGACCATGGGCGCTGTAAAGCACCCGAAACGTCGGGATAATAATAAAAATAAATTAAAGTAATTAACCGCGATAAAATCCGTAAATAATAGTTTTATTCAATGTGTAGTGTTCGCGTAAATTTAAGAAATCATAATATGTACCTGTTAAAAACTTAAAATGATAACAAACTGG